ACGTTCCTTGAGAGCAAGGTTTATACCTTTATTCATTTTCTCATCTCCAGAACTTAGCAGCGTGTACCCACCTACCACCCACCCCCACCCCCAGAGCTCATGGCAAGTAAATAAACTGACCTTTCAATCACAATTTTGAGGTGTTTAAAAGACATTTTCAAGATAAATGGATCCTTGATGATGCTGTGGGTTAAGCACTGGATTGTTAACTGCAAAGTGCAAAGTAGGTTCAAACCTACTACCAGTCACTCCTCTGGAGAAAGATGAAGCTGTTTGCTTCTGTATAGATTTATTGTCTCAGAACCCTAAGAATTATAAAGTGCTATGAGTTGGAACTGACTTGCTGGAAATGGGTTGTAGATGCCCTGGGAGGAAGTCCCCACCACTCTGAATAGTCAGAAGCTTCAGAAAAGAGACATCCTAGCTCACCAGCATCTTCTCGGAAACCCTATACAGGGTCGCTAGAAGTCAGAACCAACTCAAGGACTACACTTCACAACAAATGGTAACCAAAAGGAAATCCCATCAAATGTCAGGGATTTCTTAAGGAACCTCCAAATCCTCTGGGTCTTCACTAAAGTGAAGAAAGAATGCCCAGTATATCGGCACACATCCCTGGACAGGTGAGGAAAAGAGCAATTACAGAGAGGAGGCCTTGGTCATCTGTTTCTACATTTCTGCCATTCAAAATGTCTTTCAGTTCCTCAAATGTATGATAACTTTTCCATCTCTATATCTTTGAAAACTTTCTTCCCTCAACCTTGGAATGCTTTTCTCTTCTTCTTCCCTTTGATTGAACTTCTAAACAGTTCTAAGGCTTCAGCCTAAACGTCACTTTCTGAAAAGGCAGGTTTTCCTTTTCCTCTCAGTTAGAGTCAAACCCGATTGCCACACGTTCCCACAGTAGCGTGTACTTCCCCTTTCAGAACATGCACCTCATTGTACTGCCCTAACTCTCTGACGTCACCTTGTTCCTGTCTAGTCCCAGGTCTTGGTACCTAGAAGATACTAAAAAATGTTTGTTATGTACATCAGATTTCAGTATTTACACAACTTCCTCATTTTAAAGAGGAAACAACCATGTCACATACAAACAGAAATGAACTATCAAGCCATGAAATGTCATGGAGAAACCTTAAATACATGCTGCTGAATAAGAGAAGTCAGTCATACAATGTATAGATATTTACATATAGAATGCTTCCAAATATATGACATTCTAGAAAAGGCTAAATGATAGAGACAAAAAAAAAAAAAAGACCAGGGGTTGTGAGAGTCAGTGGGGGGGTTGGGGCAAGGGAGTGGAATAGGAATTTTTACTATGTCAGGTTGGTACCTGTATAGGGTTTCCGAGGAGCAGCTTGTGGGTTTGAACTGCCGATCTTGTGGTTTGCAGTCCAGTGCTTATCTTACAGCACCACACTATAAGTCCAGAATAGGAGTTGTTTGTTGTTTGTTGTTGTTAAGTGCCATCAAGTAGGTTCCGACCCATAGTGACCCTGTATAGGGTTTCCGAGGAGCAGCTGGTGAGCTTGAACCCTGACCTTGCAGTTCAAATGGCTTAGCAGTTTGGCGCATTAACCCACAGTGCCACACCAGGACTCATAGGGCATTTTAAGGGCACTGAAGCTATTGTGATAGTTATGGATCTGTGGCCACTTGACTGGGACTGAATTCTCAGTGGCTTGACAGTTAAGACATAGTAACCCCCCATGATGAGATCTAATATAATTTTATTGTTTCCATGCTGAACTGTGCTACCAGCAAGCAATTAATTGAAAGGAAGCATCCTTGGGGGTTTGGCCTGCTACCAAGATGCTCAGGTGAAACTTGCTTGCTTTTTGCTGGGTCAGAATCCAGCATCTGGCTGGTTATCTGACCTCTGGTTCTTTGGACCTAAGTCAGCAACCTGCCTGAAGTATTGCTAGCTGATTCGGACAGTCATCAACAGCCATCTTACCTACTGACTTTGGATTCATTTGCCTCTGCAGATAGAAGTCTGACCTGCCAATCTTAGGTTCATCTAGTCCTACAGCTACATGAGTCAGGAGAAGCTTTTAACCTGACATCTGACCCATGGACTTGGAACTTGCCCGATTCTACAACTGTGTGAGGCATTTCCTTGATATAAACCTCTGTGTGTGTGTATACACACATACATGTAGTGGTGGTGGTGGTGTGCCATGGAGTCGGTTCCAACTCATAGCAACCCTGCATAGGGCTTCTGAGGCTGTAAATCTTTATGGGAGCAGAAAGCCTCATCTTTCTCCCACAGAATGGCTGGTAGTTTCAAACTGCTGACCTTGAGATTAGCAGCCTGATTTGTAACCACTACGCTACCAGAGCTCCAAATATATTGTTTTTGTTAAGTGCCATCAAGTTGGTTTTGAACCACCAATCTTGTGGTTCAAACTGACTTTGCAGTCCAATGCATTAACCCACAGCAATATATTACACACACACACACACATACACACACACATATATATGCTATATAAAGAGCTTTGGTAGCGTAGTGGTTACGAATTGGGCTTTGAACCACAAGGTCAGCAGTTCGAAACTACCAGATGTTCTGCGGGAGAAAGATGAGGCGTTCTGCTCCCATAGAGATTTACAGTTTTGGAAACCCTGTATAGGGTCACTATGAGTTGGAACCGACTCCACAGCACATAACAACAACAACAACATATGCTATATATGCTTCACTGTTTTGGCCTCTCTAGAAAACCTAGCCTAAAATACTGTATGATACTGTAATGACAGACACATGACATTAAGCAATAGTCAAAACCCATGGAACTCTACAACACAAAGTGTGAACCCTAATATAAACTATGGAGTTAATAATATATCAATATCTGTTCATCAGTTACAAATATACCATAGGAATAAACCAAACCAAACCCATGGCCAATTGAGTAGATTTCAGCTCAAAGTGACCCTAAGAGTAGAGTAGAACTGCTTCATAGGGTTTCCAAGACTGGGGTGGCACTGTAGGATAAGCACTAGACTGCAAGGTCAGTTTGAACCACAAGGTCGGTGGTTCAAATCCACCAGCTGTTCCTTGGGAACCCCATACAGGTTTGCTATGAGTTGGAACCAACCTGATAGCACGTAACAAAAATAACCTTTACAGAAGCAGGTAGTCACACATCTTTCTCCCGTAGAATAGCTGGTGGGTTCAAACCATTGACCTTTTGGTTAGCAGCCACGAACTTTAAGCACTGTGTCTCCAGGGTGCCACAATAGAACTGGAAGATGTTAATAATAGGAGTTAGAGTCCTGGTGTGGTGCTGTGGGTCAATGCACTGAACCGTAAGATCAGTGGCTCAAGCTCACTAGACACTCCTCAGAAACCCTATACAGAGCCACAAACAGACTTACAGCACTTAACAACAACAATAACAGGAGTTAACAGGGTGCAAGGTGGTGGGTATATGTGAACTCGGTACTTTCTACATAACTTTCAGTAAACATAAAACTGCTCTAAAAATAAACTCTATTTAAAACAAACCAACAAGGCACAGTGGAGGAGCTGTGAGTTTTCCAATGGCCTCAGGTTAGTTGTGGGGCAGCAAAGGTGCCTGCCTGCCTCACTTGCCGCTTTCCTTCCAGAACAGGTGGTTGGTTGATGCATGTGATGGTGGTTAACATAACTGGTTCTTTTATTTCTTCTAAACTGTGTACAAACATGGAATTCTCCCAGGAACATTTTTATTTGTGCAAGGAAAAAAAAGTCATTGTTTCTGAGGAGTAAAGTTTTTAATTTTGGAAACTTTCAAATCTACAGAAAAACGGTATGAAATGGACAATTAGCACCAACATGTAATTTATCTAGAGTCACCAATTGCTAATGTTTTGCACAGTGGTACGCTTGCTCCCCCTCTCTGTCTCATCAACATGGTGTCGATTCTGATTCAGAGCCACCCTGCAGGTTAGAGTCAAACTGCCCCCAGGCGCTCCCCAGGCTGCAAATCTTTACAGAAGTAGACTGTCCCATCATTCTTCCACAGAACAGTGATGGGTTCAAACTGTCAACATAACCAATACCTTTTTGGTTAGCAGCCAAATGTTTTAACCTCTGCACCACTGGGCCTCATCTCTCTCTACTACACACACACACACACACACACACACATACACAGGGGGCGTCACAACATTTGTGGAATAGAATGAACAGATAATGGACTGTTTCCACTAACTTTCTGAAGCCCCTTTGTATATGTATGTGTGTACCCCTATGCATACTCATATACTCAATACACAGGTACTTTTTTGGGGGGGCTGAACCATTCAAAACTCAATTATAAACATTGTTACATTTTGTCCCTAAAACCCCCAAATACTTGAACATGTAACTTCTAAGAGCAAGAGAATTCTCTTACACAAATACAACATATTGAACACGATCTTATAATACATCTCCAATTGTCATATACATATATATAGTTGTTGTATGCCATCGAGTCGGTTCTGACTCACAGCAACCATATATAGGGTTTCTAAAGAGCAGTTGGAGTCACCAACGACCTTGTGATTCAAACTGACCTTGCAGTCCAGTGCATTATCTTGCAGCACCACACCAGGACTCCATGTTTATATAAATAATCCAGGAAAACAATCAAGGATCACAAATTGCATTTGGTTGCCAGGTCTCTTCCAATCTAGAACATTTCCCAGGTGAATTTTTCATAATATTGACATTTTTTTAAGAGTCCAGGACAGTTACTTTGCACAATGTTCTTCAACCTGGGTTTGTCTGAATCTTTTCTCATAACTTAGTTCGCAAAAACCTTTTTTGGCAAGAGTGCTATTTGGTGATGCAGCAGGTGCCTTCTCATTGCAACGTCTCCCTTTTGGAGTTGAGGAAGTCCTGGGCCCAGACCTTGAGGAGTGCAAGCATGTCCATTTGTCTGTCAGATCCCCAGAGACAGTAGGGCTGGGTGGTAGGACAAGGCCCAAGGACCCGCGGGTAAGGGCCACAGCTTGTCTTGAAGAATTCACTCCAGGATGGTTGCTGACTGTAGGACACCTATGCTGGGCAACAGGTCCAAGGGGAGAACCTCTCCTTCCACCAGGAGCCCTGAATGGCCAGTGGTCACCTGCTGCTGTGGCCACTCTCTGTTGATGTAGCTGCAAGGGACATAGGAAAACGGCAATAGAGTCACATCAGAGTGAAGGGACAACAACTGTGATCAGGGAACAATGATGGAATGAGCCAGAAAGAAGGAAAAAAAAAATAGAAAATTGAAGGATGCACCCAGAAAAGGAAGAGCAGCAGAGTGTCAACGACACCCAGACAGAGCCAGAGGAAGACTCACAGATACACAGAGTGGAAAAAAGGAGCACTTGATCAAATCAACCTCACTAACACATTTCCCATTGGTTTGTGAAGCTATTTAGCTTTGGGATGTTCGAAAGGGAGGAAAGTTTGTCAACTACAAAGGTGATAAAGGCTCTTTGTCCAAGGGGTTTTGGGGGGGTCACCTGCTCAGTCTATATTTTTCTAAATATATAGCTTCTCCTTTGTGCCCCAGGCCAGGCCCCCAGCCAGAAGTTGCCTACTGGCACTTAGGACATCTCCCGTTTCTCACAATGCTGTCAGCAAATAGGAAAGCCCACTGTGACTCATCCATGGAGGGTGAAGAGAAGGAGCAGGAGAGAGGCGGGCAGAAGAGAGGATCCCAGGAGAGAAGGCATGCTGAAAACAGCCTTCCTTCTTGAGTGGGAAGGAGTTCCAGGCCCCACGAGCTGCCCAGCGGGGAGGGACCTCAGCTAATAATAACCAGACAGTGTATACTCATAAGGGGGGGCGGGAGGAGACTGCACTGCCCCTACATTATGTGGGGTAGGGAAGGGGCTCCTGATACCACCTACGGTTCAACCAGGACTAAAGTTCTCTAGATGCTATGGCGACAGCACTTCCCTAGGAACAGGGGCCGAGTGGGGATGGGGGCAGATAGAAAGGAGGACGTTCTAGAAGTAATGTGCACTGCCTGTATGTTTCTCTTTGGCAGAAAGAGAGGAAGAAAGTGGAACTAGAGTAGTCAGGAGTCATGACCTTGGCCTCAGGACTCTTTGTTGGACACCAGAGCAAGCCCCAGGGGTCCTTGGGTAGTGAAGACAGTTAATGCACTTGGCTGCTAACCAAAATGTTGGAGGTTCAAGTCCATCCAGAGGTACCTCAGAAGAAAGGCCTGGTGATCTACTGCTGAACACTCAGCCATTGGAAACCCTACATAGCACAGTGTGGGATGGCCATGAACCAAAATGGATTTGATGGCAACTGGAGCCCAACTGAAGATGACCCGTTCTACCTTCTGCTCTTGGTCAAAAGAACAAAGTTCAACCCTGTGCCTTACGGAGGATGCTGAGGGGGGTAAAGGGACGGGCCAGGACATCCCTCAGACTCTTCAGCCATTCCCGCTGCTCCTTCTCCGTGGGGCAGGTGAAGACAAATCTCCTCTGTGGAGTGACGATGGTGAGGCCAGCTTTCCAGCGATTCCCTCGGATGCCCTTGGGCAGGTCTTCATAGACATCGTAGCCCTGCTCACTGCTCCCGATAAAAACCTGGCCCTGCTCAAAGGCATCCTGAAAATAAATAGAAGGTGCAGTTATCAGCGGCCTTGCCTTGAGCTGGCGGTACATGCTGCCCTAGCAACCCCAGAGATGTTTGGGTAAAAGGATGTGAAGACCCCTGCTGCGACTTCTACTATGTTAGACCCAAAATTTGAAAGATTAAAAGCCTAAGATACTTTTAACTTATTTAGGCCTTTAATTTCTTTTAATATTTTTATTTGTTAGTGTAAAATTCTTGCATTTCTTTTAAAAACGTATTCTTAGGAATTGAATTCCTTTAGCAAGTACTATAAGTAAAATTGATTTATTAATTTTATTTTGATATTGGTACTTATTAAGTGCTGCCAAGTTGGTTTCAACTCAGTGTACCTGTGTAGGGTTTCTAGGCTGCAAATGACTGTGGGAACAGAAAGCATCATCTTTCTCCTGTGAAGCAGCTGGTGGGCTCAAACAGTGACCTTGTGGTTGGCAGTCCAGTGCTTATCTTATAGAGTCACCATGTTCCCCGTGGTCATTGCTAGTTTATAGAAAAACTTTACATATAGACCCATATCTTAAAAAAATTTAATTTATTAATTAGTTCTAATAGCTTGTGTATCTGTATGTGCATGTGTGTTTTTCTTATAGTTTTATTTTCACAAGATTGTTATTTTTAAACTAGAGATCATTTTACTTTTCTTTGAAATACAAGTGCATATTAAATCTTTGTCTTACCTAATTGCCCTAATTAGAATCTTTGGTACATTGTTGAATAACAGTGGCAAGAAAGAAAAAAAAAAAAAAGCGTAAGATAAATCACACAGATGAGACTTGGGCACATCCTTCACAGTTTGACAGAGAAGATGTGCTCTCACATGACCCTCCCCCACAAGTCTTTGTTACCAGAGAGGCCACATAACATTTATGAGGTTATATAGTGTCCGTTTAGGAGCTCTGGTAGCGTAGTGGATACGAATCTGGCTGCTAACCTCAAGGTTGGCAGTTCGGAACTACCAGCCTTTCTGTGGGAGAAAGATGAGGCTTTCTGCTCCTGTAAAGATTTACAGCCTCGGAAACCCTGTGCAGGGTCACTATGAGTCAGAACCTGACCCAAGCCATGGTATTTTCAATAACCTCATATGCATGTGAAAGTTGGACAGTAAATAAGGAAGACCAAAGACGAATTGATGCTTTTGAGTTATGGTGTTAGAGAAGAATATTGAAAGTGCCATGGGCTGCCCATAGAACCAACAGATCTGTGCTGGAAGAAGTGCAGCCAGAGTGCTCCTTGGAGGCCAAGATGGCCAAACTTTGTCTCTCATACTTCAGACATATTGTCAGGAAGGACCAGTCACTGGAGGAGGGTATCATGTTTGGTACAGTGGAGGGTCAGAGAAAAAGAGGAAGACCCCCAACAAAATGGATTGGCTAAGTGACAGCATCAATAGGCACAAGTGTGGCAACAATAGTGAGGTTGGCCCAGGATCAGACAGTGTTTCATTCTGCTGTGCATAAGGTCGCTATGAATCGGTGCTGACTCAATGGCACCTAACAACAGCAACAGACTTGTTTAAGGAGCCCTGGTAGCGTAGTGTATTACGAGCTGGGCTGTTTACTGCCAGGTCAGCAGTTTGAATCTACCAATCGCTCCACGGGAGAAAGAGGAGGCTTTCTGCTCCCATAAAGATTCACAGCCTCAGAAAGCCTATATAGGGTCCCTATGAGTCGGAACTGATTCAGTGGCACACAACCACCGTGACCATAGACTTATTTAACACAGACTTGCCACAAAACTTCAATTTGTAAAAAATGTACTATCTGTGAAGTGCAATAAAGCGTTGTGTGACAAAATGAGGTACACCTGCATTGAATTTTCCTGCCAACCACTGAGGAGGGCTCTGTTACTAAGTCTATTTTCCAGAGCAAAAAACGGAGGCACAGAGAGCTAAGGATCTGGCCCAAGGCATGTCACTAAAAGTGGCAGGGCAGAGATCAAACACACCAAATCACTCTCGTTTACAGACCTGGTTGGGGGTGGGGGACCGAGGTGAGACCTGGAGGACAAAGTACAACTTGAACTACTTGATCTCACCACAGTTGGCAGCATTTTGGTGGGAGGAGAGAAAGGGCTCTGTGTCTGGACAACTTTGCACAGAGAGGTGACTTAAGACAAGCTACCGAGAAGCAAGGGTGAAGGTGTTTCCCTCTCTGGGTTTCTCCAATCCTGGGCGGCTGGGAGATGTGTTTGTCTGTAATCTACCATGGACCTCCTCCCCCGCCCCCAGCCCCTCTGCCTGGAGATGGATTCGGGTGGCACCAAAGTGGCTTTTACCAGTGGGTTCTTGTAGTAGAGCAGTCTTCGCTCTTGAGGATCCAGGGCAAACCACCGTTTCTTGAAAGGTTCTCGCTGCTGTAAAAGAGGGAACCTCTGTCCAGGGACGCGCAGCTGGGGAGCACGAGGCCAGCCCAGACCATGTGGCCTTCAAAACCCCTTCTCTGGGCCTGGGCAGGGACCCTAGGCTCTGAAAGTTTGCCCCCCTGCTGCTTCCTGAAGCTGCCTTAAGTTGGAAGAAGCGCTTCCTTCTTTCTCAGGCTGTGAACAAGAAGTGTCAGAAAAAGGAAGTTGGGGAAATCAGAAGTGGCCACTGCTCAGTAAGGCTGAAAGAGCGGGCCTTGACCAAATTCTAACCTAGGTCAGGAGACAGAAGTCTGGGGCAACAGCCCTGGGGGAGGGTATGCCCTTGGCTAGTACAGAACTGGATATAAAGTCTGCAAGCCCTTGACTATCCTTGGAGGCTTTCTTTCAGACTGATACCCAACACCTTCCTTCAGAAACCTTGCTCTGCTTTTCCCCTCCTTTTAGCTTCCTCTCTTTCCTTCATCCTTACCCCATTGTTCCTCCCCTCACAATCCATTCCCACCCCCCAGACAGGACTGAGACTACTGGTCTCCAGGCATCCAGTCTCACACTAACAGGGCACAGAAGTAGCTGGGCCCTCCCTTCCTTCTTGGACTAGTGGGAATGAGCAGCCCTAGAGGGTGGAGCAGGCTCCAAGAAGAGCAGAGGTTGAGTTTGGGGGAGAGAGTGTGTCCTAGGGGAGGGGCATGCTCACGTGGGCCCTGCTGGCACCCAAGTGTGGGTGTGTATGCATCTGTCATTTTCTCAGAACAGTCGCTAGCCTCTGACTTGGACAGCACAGAACACATGAGAGTTCTAGAAAGTGCCAAAGCTGTCTCCAGTGGGGCTCTATTCAGTATGCTTTCCTGGGGGTGGGATCAGTTGTACAAGGTCAGAAAGTGAACAGAGGGGGTCTCCCACTTATGTGAAATATCTAGGACAGGAAAGTGTATAAAGACCGAAGTATATCAATGGTTTCCAGGGGTGGGTAGGTGGGACAGAGGGGAAAAGGGGGGACTCGCTGCTTAGGGGAAACAGCTTCTGTTAAGGGGGATGAGAAAATCTAGAAATGAATAATGGTGATGGTAACATGATAAATATAATTAATGTCACTAAATTATACATGTGAAGAATGTTGAAAAGGCAAACAACTTATTATATATATGTCTTACCACAATAAATAAATAAAATAAAATTTAAAAAAAGGAGAAAGAAAGAAATGGGTGCCCAGTGACAGGGAGAAGCAGCACAGCACTGCCTGACCAGTCACCAGCTCATCCACATTCACCCTCCAGGAGACCCAAGTCGTCCCCCAGGGAGTGGCAGAATGTACCTTTGGACCAGTCTTTTCCATGAAGCCTTGTTTGAGGTAATTCCTGGTGATAAGAGGCACGAGCTGTGAGAAAAGAGACACACATTGACCCCCTCTGACTCACACCCCAGGGGCTTGAGGTTCCCCACTGAGCTTGGCTTCCCAAGAAAGGAGGCATTTGGAATAGGGAAGCATGTATGCTCATGGCTCACAGGGTTATATTTGGAATGTGGAACGGGTGCAATATTAATGTTTCAACAGAACCAGAGGGCAGTATCCAGATGTTTGCAGAGCTGGCCAGCATGGCTGAGCAGAACTTGGTTTAAGGACTCCTTCGGTCAGCCTGGAATCACTGGGTAATGCAAGCAGCTCACATGCTCAGTTGCTGACTGAAAGGTTGGAGATTTGAATCTATTTAGAGAGCCTTGGAAGAAAGGTCTGGTATCTATGTGTGAAAAACAAGCCACTGAAAATCCCCTGGAAGGCAGCTCTACTCTAATGCACACTGGATCTGGAGGAGTTGGAGTCAGTTTTCTAGCTGTGGGCTAAGTCATTGACTTTTACTTTTTCAATTGACCCCAGAGAGTGGAGCAGGAAAGAGCCTTCTTCCAAGGCTCTCTAAATAGATTCAAATCTCCACCCTTTCAGTCAGCAACTGAGCATGTGAGCTGCTTGCATTACCCAGTGATTCCAGGCTGACCGAAGAAGTCCTTAAACCAAGTTCTGCTCAGCCATGCTGGCCAGCTCTGCAAACATCTGGATACCATCCTGAGACCAGGCTGCACATGCCAGGTTCTGAGGGCAATTTTCATAACCACCCTGCAAGTTAAACAAAAGTTCATAGGAAAATTCCATTGTCTTTCATTCCATTTTCCATGAACTTTTTGAAGCTCCCATGGTCATCCATCCTCACGGTACAGATGAAGAAATTCGGGATTTTCCCAAAGTCATGTTGTTGGTTGGATGAAGAGCTGAGATCACACTGACAAGCTGAGGAGGTTAGACAGTACTCCTTCACTACACAATAATGTGAAGTATAAACATGTCAAGACCTACTCACCACAGGGCTGCAAGGAGGCAAGTAGACAAAAGCTGTAGACTAGGAGTCCAGCTTTGACCTGAAATAAGACTTTATGCCTTTTGGGGCCTGATTTCCTTTGTAAGACTGGATTACATAACCTCCAAATTCCCTTCCACCTGTCCGTGATTAAGTAGTGTTTGAGGGATCAAAGTTGGCCTTCCAGGTTCTGGGCAGTGGCACGAACCTGGTATGTCTAGTGCTGCAAACAACAACCCAGGGTTCTGAGAGCAGCAGACAAGGTTCTCTAGGACTCTGGGACTCAGAACAGGGGCAGGAGATGAGGTGTGGGGAACAAATGGGAAGTCTGGAAGAGGGAATGCTGTGAGCCAAAAACGAAAATATAAGTTACAAGCTCTGCCCTAAAATATGTTCTACGGACTTGACTTCTACAATTTGGAGAGAAGACAGAGTCCCCATCTGTTGAATAGTCTATCCCCAAGCCAGAGCAGGGCTCATCTAGGGCAAGGAAAAGACCTGGCAAAAGAGAAAAATCACAGTGGCAGAGTCCACGCTATGACTGCCATGCCTAGACCTACTCGGTGCCCACAATAACCCGGGAAGGTAGGTAGATCCCCATGATGACAGACAAGGAAACTAAGGTTCAGAGAGGTGAGGTGACTTGCCCTAAGTGATACACCAGCTTCTCCTGACTTTAGAGTCTATGTACTGCTTTTAGCAAGACCACAGTCCCACTGGGCCTGCCCTATTTCTGGCATCTGTGTCCACGAGTCTGCAAGCCAGACACAGAGGTAGAATGGGAGGAAAGAGAGGAGAGGCCAGCTGGGAGGAAACAGGGCCTGGAGGAGGTAGGCTAGGAGTAAAGACTGGATGACAGAGGTTAAGAACACATTGAGGATGTTGGCCAATGGATCAGCAAAGTTGGAAAGCTAACTCAGATAAAATACTGCTGAGCATCTGCATTTTGTCCTCCCCATCCCTGAGGTCAGCAGTCAGCACTCCTAACCTGAGGACTGCCTTCAGGGAGCCAGCACTGGCTAGTCTGGGTGCTGCTTTAGCAGACAGAAGGGCTCTGGCTCAGGCCTTGCTAGAACTTCCCCTAGAGAACTGCTGCATTGGTGTATCATTGGACCTGGAGTGAACCCCAGTTCCAGACATTTGTTGTTAGCTACTGTCAGACTGGCCCCCGACTCACAGGGACCCCATGCACAACAAAATGAGACACTGCCCATTCCTGCAGGTCGGATAGTTGTTGATTTTAGGAAGTACATCACCAGGCCTTTCTTACTGCTACATCTGAAGCTAGAAGCTGCTCAGCATCACAACACACAAACCTACACTGACAGGGAGGTGGTGGTGGCACATGAGGTGCCCTGGCTGGGACTGGAACCTGGGGCTTCCACATGGAAGGGCAGAATTCTACCACTGAGCCACAGTGCACTCCTAGACACTCAGAAGCCTGCAAACCTTGAGATTATGGAACATTTAGCCTTTTAAGTCCCAGGATCCACATGGTCTCCCCACTAATCCACTTAGAGGGGAGGCCTAAGACCGGGACCATCTAAACCATGGCATCTCAGAGCTAGAAAGGGTCCTGAAAGATGAGCCAGACCAACCACCTCTTACTAACGTGGAAATAGATGCACATTGAGGAAATGTGGCCTGCAGAGGTCACACACCCTAACACTGAGGGAGCATCGAGGAGAGCTCAGCCCTCCTGGTTTGAGGCTAGCATCCTCTACCCAACATCACGCAGGGCTCTCCCAGCTAAGCCTGAGAGCTACAGGTGGGTGTCCTGTTTGTCTAAAGACAGTCAAATGGAAGTTCTCTGGTTCACCTGTCGGTTACAGTTATAATGGGCAACGTCCCAATGCCTTTCTGACCCAACACCATGAGGAAAAAGAGGTGTGAAGAGTGGAAAGATCACCTTTGGTTATACATTTGACCATCTGGGACTCAATTTCTCATCTAAAATGGAATCATCAACCTGCCACAAAAGAGATTGCAAGATACAATCAGAAACACTCAGATGTGAAGGACTGTGTGTACATTTAGTGAGAGAAGGGACCAAAGCCAGATGTTGAAATTATGTGCCCCTTCATTGGCTTGCACATCCTGACGTTCAGAGGCCATCTTGCCTTGTGTGAAGCCTATTCCACCAGGTTCCCCAGAAGATAGTGTTTAGTTTTCCGCTGCGGTGCCCCACCCCTAGGCCTCAAGACCTTGCCAATAAACCAACCCAGTCTGGTCTCTGAGTGTCTTCAGGGTCAGCAAGGAAGCAGAGGAAAAGAGAGGTAGAGAGGAGACTCAGAAATCAAGGCCCACAATGAACTCACTTCAGCTTCCGGAAGTTCAGGAAAGGCCGTTTTTAGGTATTGCAGACGGGCTGCACGAAGGGCATTGAACCAGTCCACTATCTCCTGCCGAGAAAAATGGAAATGACAGTCAGCTGGTGGTGAACTGGGGAGTGGGGCTAGGTCTGCTGGCAAGTGGCTAGCTGGGTCATCAAGTTGGGGCACATTCATGGAACCATCGACTCAGCACTTGTACCTGAGGGTACAGAGAGTCTCAGGGATCTGCGGGCTCATCACAGGTACCCAACTATGATGGGAAGTCACTGACAAGGAGAATTTCAGAGCCATAGGAAAGGACCAGTGTGAGCTATGGGGGACTCACACAAGGGCCTTGCTGCTGCTGTTGAAACAAGTTGTCGTTGAATTGATCCTCATTTATGGTGACCCCATCTGTGACCTTTTGGAAGTAGCACCAAGTGTCATTTCTGAGGTGCCTCTGGGTGAGTTTGAACTGCCATTTGGTTAGTACCACGCTTTGCAATTGCCTAAGACAAAGCTGTTCATACTCTAACATACACACAGACCATCTGAGGATCTTGCTAAAATTCAGATTCTGATCCAATAAGTTTAAGGTGAGGCCTGAGAGTCTGCACTCTAACCAACTCCCAGTTGATGCTGACTGGTGCTGTTGGGCAGGGGTCCACAAGCAAGGGCCTGAAAAACCATCATTCTCAGATGTCAAAGATTGGCTTTTGTGTAGTGGATAGGTGCGTTGGGAAAGCTGCCATGCAGCTTAGGCCAAAACTGGCTTGGACCTTTATGCCCTTGCTCTGGGAGAATGCGTTGCCTGGAAATCCCAGCCACCATCGTCTCTGACCGAGAAAGACAACACTGGCCCTATTTAGTCAGCCTTGCCTCTTCTCTGCTGCTCTCCACTGGGACCTTCCCAGGACTACCAGGGTGGTTTTCTAATTGCAAATCTGATTGTGTCTGGCCGTAAGCCCTCTCCACTGCCCTTGGGAAAAAAAAGTCTAAGATCCTGAGCATGACTTACTTTGCCCCTGCGCTCCTTCCATCAAAACCCTCTGAAGTCTCCCTATCCAATGCTGTTTCCTCCTTCTGAAACACTACCTTGCCCACCTTCAGCCCCACACACACCTTATTTATCTAGAACATCCTACTCAGCTTGTAGATTCATTTAGATGTGGTAATATGGAAACATTTTGGAGTGCTTGCTCAAGTTCTACTTCTATAAGAACTGTACCACCCTTCCACACCCACCCACCACCCACAGCTACACCTGCATTTGCTACTATGATGAGCTCTGGCTCCCTGGCCACAGAAACTGAAGCAGGGCTGGACCAACGCAGAGGCAGGGTGGGGCCTATCAGATCCTTACTCCCTGAAACATGGGATTGGAAGGCTGAAAGGCTTGTACAAATAGTTGCAGTACTGGACTTTTATGTAAAATTATGATTGAGAAATACATTGAATATGCTGTCAAAGAAATGAAACACAATGCTCCTTTCTCTTTTATAAGTCAAGCACCCACTAAGAGAATGGTGTCTCAAAATACTCACCCAGGACTTAATATTAAAAGGTCCCTCAATCACAGATTAGAGCGCTGGACCAAATCCAGCCTGCATAAATGCTTAGTTTGGCGCCCCCAAATTTTGTTTGTTTCAATCATGTAACAGACCTTCCTATTTGTCAAACCTCACCCCCATCTCAAAGGTCCACTTTACTCTTTTTTTTTTTTCCTTTTAATGTTTTATTGTGAGTTATGTGATAGTTTACATGGGAGACCATTAGTTTTACATTCATGCTATTGTGTATCATTTTATTGCCATGGTTTACAATCCCCTCCATGCATCATCAACCAACCAAAGGGTATACACTACAAGCCTGCTCCCCGGTCGTCAGCACACAGCCCCTCTCCCTCTCTGTGTCCAAAGTCCCCAACTGCTCCATCTCTCTGTGTCATTGTCTCTGCCTCCATGTCTGGCATCACTGCTTCTCTGGGTAGGGTGCCGCTCTCCGCTCTGCTCCCTTGATGGACCCAGGGACCTCCGCTCCTAGACTGCAAAGTCAATCACTCCCTCCTTTTGCTACAAAATGTCTACCTTTACATTTCCAACCCTCACAATTAGTCCTGATAACAATTATTCACTATTGTATCACAGGAGACCTATCCTCATTTCCTTTCACCAGCCCCGCCCAGACAGATTAGATACCTCTCAGTGGAGATTCTACCTTCCTCCACACCCTCTGGATCTAAGTTCCCTCTTGAAAGCTTGTAAGCCAGTCACTTCTTGCCTTTGTAGCCCCCACATTTTGAGTAGCCAATATCCAAGTTGCCCATCCCTGTCTAGTCTGTGTATGGAGGGGTTGGGAATGATCCTTGCTGTAAGGTTGATTTTTCTTAAAAGTTGTGGTAGAGGAAGACAAGGAGAAAGCCAGACGCAAGGTTGTTGGATTGTGCCTCTGCCCACACTCAAAGGTGATTTGGAGAAGAAGCTCTTCTTAGTTTGCACTGACGCAGTGTTGGCTCAGAAGGAGAGATCTCACCATGGCTCCTACATATGAGCAGAGCAGGTCTTCCAGTGTATTTGGGTTGGGCAGTAGATGTTTATGAGCAGGAAGACTGGCTGGTGGGGACCATGTACATGGCAGACTTGCAGGTCATGGGCACAAGGAAGGCCACTTGACCAGGGCTAGACATGCCACAGGTCATGCTTCCGGAAGAGCTGCCACTAGATAACTGGCCTCCACTAGAGGAGCTGCTGGAAGCCCCACACGATGACTGGCTGCAGGAGGAGTACATGCTGCTCACGGGCATAAGGAAGGCAACTTGGCCAGAGCTAGATGCGCTGCCGGTCATACCTCCAGAAGAGCTGCCGCATGATGACTGGCCACCACCAGAGGAGCTGCTGGAAGCCCCACACGATGACTGGCTGCAGGAGGCCATGCCGCTCACGGGCACAAAGAAGGCAACTTGGCCAGAGCTAGACGCGCTGCCGGTCATACCTCCAGAAGAGCTGCCGCAC